AGCTGTTTTTGTCAGACAATGAGACATCCCGAAAATCGGTCTTCTCATGAAAACGTCTGTAGGGTCCAAACGGTTTGGCCTACAAACTACTATGGAAAGGTGAGTCTCTCACGAACACATACATGTTGGTTGTTTTGCTCAAGGACGCCCTCAAGCCTCATAAGACTCACCTGAAGGTAGCCCGGTACCAGTTAAAACAATTTATGGAGGTATATATAGAAGTAGTTTAGTGCCTAAAAAAAGGCTTAAAGAAACATTCAATCATATAATTTGCACAGAAATCCTAATAAAAGCATGTAGATATAAATACAGTTGAAGTAGGATGTTTATATACACTTAGGTTGGAGTCGTTAAAACTCGTTTTTCAACCACTCCACAAATTTCTTGTTAACAAACTATAGTTTTGGCAAGTCGGTTAGGACATCTACTTTGTGCATGACACAAGTAATTTTTCCAACAATTGTTTACAGACAGATTATTTAACTTATAATTCACTGTATCACAATTCCAGTGCGTCAGAAGTTTACATACACTAAGTTGACTGTGCCTTTAAACAGCTTGGAAAATTCCAGAAAATGATGTCATGGCTTTAGAAGCTTCTGATAGGCTAATTGACATCATTTGAGTCAATTGGAGGTGTACATGTGGATGTATTTCAAGGCCTACCTTCAAACTCAGTGCCTCTTTGCTTGACATCATGGGAAAATCAAAAGAAATCAGCCAAGACCTCATCCTTGGGAGCAATTTCCAAACACCTGAAGGTACCACATTCATCTGTACAAACAATAGTACGCAAGTATAAACACCATGGGACCACGCAGCCGTCATACCGCTCAGGAAGGAGACGCGTTCTGTCTCCTAGAGATTAATGTACTTTGGTGCGAAAAGTGCAAATCAATCGCAGAACAGCAGCAAAGGACCTTGTGAAGTTGCTGGAGGAAACAGGTACAAAAGTATCCATATCCACAGTAAAACGAGTCCTATATCGACATAACCTGAATGGCCGCTCAGCAAGGAAGAAGCCACTGCTCCAAAACTGCCATAAAAAAGCCAGACTACGGTTTGCAACTGCACATGGGGACAAAGATCATACTTTTTGGAGAAATGTCCTCTGGTCTGATGAAACAAAAATAGAACTGTTTGGCCATGATGACCATCGTTATGTTTGGAGGAAAACGTTTTTTTTTTTTGCAAGCCGAAGAACACCTCCTAACCGTGAAGCACGTGGGTGGCAGCATCATGCTGTGGGGGTGCTTTGCTGCAGGAGGGACTGGTGCACTTCATAAAATAGATGGCATCATGAGGAAGGAAAATGATGTGGATATATTGAAGCAACATCTCAAGACATCAGTCAGGAAGTTAAAGCTTGGTCGCAAATGGGTCTTCCAAATGGACAATGACCCCAAGCATACTTCCAATGTTGTGGCAAAATGGCTTAAGGACAATGTCAAGGTATTGGAGTGGCCATCACAAAGCCCTGACCTCAATCCTATAGAACATTTGTGGGCAGAACTAAAAAGTGTGTGCGAGCAAGGAGGCCTACAAACCTGTCTCAGTTACACCAGTCTGTCAGGAGGAATGGGCCAAAATTCACCCAACTTATTTTGGGAAGTTTGTGGAAGGCTACCCGAAAATGTTGACCCAAGTGGGGCCATGCATTATCATGCTGAAACATGAGGTGATGGCGGCAGATGAATGGCATGACAATGGGCCTCAGGATCTCGTCACGGTATCTCTGTGCATTCAAATTGCCATCGATAAAATGCAATTGTGTTCTTTGTCCATAGCTTATGCCTGCCCATACCATTACCCCACCAACACCATGGTGCACTCTGTTCACAACGTTGACATCAGCAAACCGCTCGCCCACACGATGCCAGTGGCCATCGAAGGTGAGCATTTGCCCACTGAAGTCAGTTACGACGCCAAACTACAGTCAGGTTAAGACCCTGGTGAGGACGATGACACGTAGATGAGCTTCCCTAAGACGGTTTCTGACAGTTTGTGCAGAAATTCTTAGGTTGTGCAAACCCACAGTTTCATCAGCTGTCCGGGGGGCTGGTCTCACACGATCCCGCTGGTGAAGAAGCCGGATGTGGAGGTCCTGGGCTGGCGTGGTTACACGTGGTCTGCGGTTGTGAGGCCAGTTGGACGTAGTGCCAAATTCTCTAAAACGATGTTGGAGGCAGTTTATGGTAGAGAAATTAACATTAAATTGTCTGGCAAAAGCTCTAGTGGACATTCCAGCAGTCAGCATGCCAATTGCACGCTCCCTCAAAACTTGTGTTTCACCTTTTATTGAGTACGGAGACACATAGCAAAGGTGTCTCAGACAGTATTTGAAGCAAGGGCGAAATTGTGATGTAGAAATTCAGACCCTGAACAGTAGACGTGGCTCCGCGGGGTTCTCCCCCAGATTTTAAAACGCATTTCCTGCAATTCTACACAGTTTGACATGACTTATTATGCCTCTCTCTTGAGGTGTATTTTGAAAACACAGTATAAGTGGAAGGATAACTGGAAACCAGATTTTTTTTGTTGGGGAAACGGCTAACTTCCTGCATTTCAACACATTTTACCATGTGCCGTTTAAAATGCTATTCTACACATTTTGATATGATTCAGATTATAATTGTTTTAGTTTTAAAGCAAATTTCGTGCAATTCTACACAGTTTGTGTGCCTTTCTAAATCATGTCCAATCAATTGAATTTATCACAGGTGGACCCCAATCAAGTTGTAGAAACATCTCAAGGATGATTAATGGAAGCATGATGCACGTGAGCTATATTTCGAGTCTCATAGCAAAGGGTCTGAATACTTATGTAAATAAGATATCTGTTTTGTATTTGTAATACATTTGCAAAAATTTCTAAAAACCTGTTTTCACTTTGTCATTATGTGGTATGGTGTGTAGATTGATGAGGGAAAAGATTTTATTTAATCAATTTTAGAATAAGGCTGTAACGTAACATAATGTGGAAAAAGTCAAGGGGTCTGAATACTTTCCAAATGCACTGTAATGCTTAAAAAGAAAAGAAAATGGATGAATAAGATATTTGTCTACAGAAGTGCCATTTCTTACTGATTTCTACAGCTTCCATCCAAAAACAAATGCTGTGAAATGACGTCAACACATACAGGAGGAGTTACTGGCTAGCTTAGCTAACAAACTAGCTATGTTGGTTGACGCGCATGACCAGAATGACACATAGATGAACCCCCCAAAGGCACACCCTATCTTTGTTTGAAAATTGAGAAAGAGGAGGAGTTGGATCGTTTTTCGTGCCCAAAGTTGACCGTTAAAGCAAATTTCCTGCCATTCTACACTTTTTGCCATTGGTCATATGCTATCTGGGGGGCCCCCGACCCCCCCCCCCCCCCCCATCCCCCGTGGCAATTTCACTTATGATTTTAAGTATCTAAGTACAGTGTAACCTACCAACCAATGTATATCAAGTGCCGGGGAGGGCACAATCTTACGATGTTGCAGTCCAGAAATGAGAGCTTTAGCATCTATGCCAAAAGCCTGGGCCTCTGATGGAGACTGTAGAACTGCCATCAATGCATGCTTCAGTATTCCCCCTTTTCTATAGGAGCATTCATGTGACCAGGCCCCATAGGGATATCGAAAGGATCCCACCCTGGCCACCAATGTAGCTGACCGATGTAGAGAGAGACAAGTGTTTTAGCAGAATGCAATATAAAGCTTGTGATGTAATTCCATTACTGTAAATCTGTTACCGGTTGTAAATCCACTTTACTTACTATAGTTCAATAACCAAAATATATTTCATGTCATAGCTGACATTCCATTCTTTCTGCAGACATCTTTGAATTTTTATTTGGAGCAGGTATTTAAGTGTTTTTGGAAAATGTGGTCACAAAAAAAACGGAGGGAGATTTTACTGAAGCTGGGTTGTTAAGTAGAGTGCTAAAAAGTACAGTATATACCTATTTTCTTCCAGCTTTTCCCAGTTTGCATCATCAGATTTCCTGGTAGTCAATAGCCATATTGTATTGGAGCTAACTTGAGTTCTCATCATTGACAGTAGAAGGTATAGAGTATATACCCTTTTCATATCACAGCCATGTTGAATTGAATATGAGGCAGACAGGATATAGCAGACAGGATATAGTTACTGTCTGAGGCCAAACTTGAGATCACTTACAACTCATTAACGAGACATTAACAATACAGTAGACACACAAGGGGATAACCCTATCCATTTTCCTTTACAGCGATTACTGGATCTGTCACGTCTACTCCCGCTTCCCCACACCGGCGCTCGACGTCGCCGGTCTACTAACCACCGGACTTGGCAACCCATCATTATGCACACCTGGCAACCGCACTACACTTAAATCCCATAGGCAGATGTGTTAAACAAGCTTACGAGAACTCAACAGCATTCAACCTCCATTTTACTTTGTTATTTTTCTGGTTCGATATTTACTGTGGCATACAATGATACAGTATACAAATAGTGCACATCATAGACCTACTGTACATTTCCCCTTTAGTATGCACACAGAGGCTTTGGGTTGAGTGCTTGCTCTTTCATTGCATTTCAGTGCTGGGGGCTCCAGTGCTAATGGTTTGAAAATGAGAAGAGTTTCCCTATGGGATTTACTGGGAGGAACAGTGCTCAGACTTCTGGTTGCATCGTTGACCTTGTGTCACATTTGATAGCTAGTGACCGGAGGTGACTACAGCTGGCCTGGAATGATGGCTTTGTCACTACGCACTGAGGTGTCCTCCAATGACTGAATCTGTCACTCACCTAGCTATTAAAGCGTAATTTTCTACAAGTCTTTTCAGAGTTTTTTGTCACAATGTTGCAATACTGCCTTTTCCAACCAACATTTTGGTTTGCTTCAACTCTACAGCTCTACAGCAATGTATCCATTTGAAGACCAATTTTAAAAAATCAACCTAAAATTATCTGTTTTATGTCACCCTTAATTCTTACCATTGATCTTTTAATTTTTGTACTCCAGAATGTTGTGTCGAAGAGTGCCCTGCAGTTCCGGGGCAATGCCCAGCACGATGCCCAGGAGTTCCTCCTGTGGCTCCTGGACAGAGTTCACGAGGACCTCAACAACATCGTCCTGCCCAGCAGCAGACCAACCAGGAAGGTAACTATCTTTTTTGGGACAAACTTTTGTTCATTACATCACTTACAAGCTGGGGATTACATCTCAGACAGTTGAATGATATTAGATATAGCCTATAGTCTGGTAGCATCGCTGCCAACTGCACTGTATGTCCTGTCTGACTGTAATGGTTATGAAGCTTCTATACTCTTAGAAAAAAGGGTTCCAAAAGGGTTCTTCGGCTGTCACCATAGGAGAAACCTTTTTGGTTCCAGGTAGAACCCTTTTTGGTTTCAGGTAGAACTATTTTGGGTTCCATGTAGAACCCCCCAAAAGGGTTATTCAAGAGTTATCCTATGGGGACAGCCGAAGACCCATTTTAGGTTCTAGATAGCCTCTTTTTTTTTTAAAGAGTGTAGACTCTGGATTGGTACCTTTCTATTCTGAACAGACAGCATTGTATCTCCCCCAACTGTATTGTCTGGGCTGTATCCCCCTTTACCGCATTTTTGTTGTTGTATCTCCCTTAACTGTCAATTATCTGATTGTGTTTACTTTGTTGAATTGTTTACTCTCCAGTTACTCTCTTCGGGCGTTAATGTGGCCTGTTAAGTATCTATCTCTTGACTAACTTCTGTGTTACTGTATGTTGTGTCTCTCCTGACTGTGTCGTCTGTCTGCTTGCTGTTTCTGTAGCCTCTGTTGGAGGATGAAAATGTCCCTGAAGGATCCTCATTACCAGCAGCAGGCTCCTTCGTACAAGAGCTATTTCAGGCTCAATACAGGTGACTCTCCAAAATACTCTTCTGATTGACACCCCACTGCACTCTTACAGAATACAGTTGCTATAGATAGACACGTACTGTAGATACAGTAAATCGCAAGTGAGCTAGACAGTTTTCTAATGCTAATTTGACAACTAACGCTGGACTTGTTGTTAATATAGCTTTTACATTGAGACAGAATGTGGTTTTCAAATGCGGTTTGAAGTGAATGTTCTTTTTTGTCTCCACACAAACAGGTCCTCCCTGACTTGCCCTCACTGCCAGAAACAGAGCAACACCTTTGATCCTTTCCTCTGCATCTCACTGCCCATCCCGGTACCACACACTCGGTAAGACGATATCTAATATCTTGGTAAGGCAATATCCTATACACAGAGAGCGGTATAACCCACTACAAAATGGAGAAAGAGCGTGTCTTATTCTGCTGTATTTGATCTCAACCTACAAGAGTGTCAAACCTGGCAGTGATACACAGAATGATGCCACAGACAAACCACAAACAATGTAGAAGCAGGATGAGATAGTTAACTAAATTGTCCTGTGTGTCCCTCCCAGGCCCCTGTATGTGACGGTAGTGTACCAGGGAAAGTGTTCGCACTGTATGACAGTGGGCGTGGCGGTGCCTCTCTCCAGCACTGTGTCTAGACTGAGAAACGCTGTGGCCCAGGAGACTAAAATACCCTCCGAACAGGTACCAAGTCCAATACCCTTGAAATTGAGCCTCAAAGTGTATACAAGTTTTGTATACAGATGAACTGATCGGAGACAAGTGAAACCGTCTGCACTCTGCAATGAATGAAAATGCCCACCCTTCTAAAAACAATCTTCCCCACTATTCAGACTAAAACATAAAATGTCAACACTATTCAATTCCAAACTTGAGCCATTGATTAGGTATTGAAGTTGCATTATTGAAGTAGGATGTGTGTTTGTTTTTGAGGCAAGTTCAGCCAATGATGGGGACTAAAGGCCCTTGTCATTACAGATAAATCTATTGTCTATGTTTTCAACAATCCACTGTTTGTGTTTGATGTGTCCCCCAGTGTCTCAGCTCAGATCATGTGATATTGTTTGCTCATCCTATTTTATATGGTCCACTACTGTGTATAAATCCTGAGTTACTGTGTAATAATCTTTACTTTTTAATGTGTATGAATGAATCTTATATGAATTTCATATGAGTCATCCACATACACCTCATGCCTATGTTAAAAAAAGCCCGGAGCACGGACGTTTGGGACAGCGAGGTGCGCTGCTGAGGCCTCGGACCTGACTGTCTGACTGACTCTGACCGGCTCCCTCCTCTGTGACCATCTATGCCTGAAGTTCCTCCGCTCTCAATGCCATCATAACTGCTTCTATCCTTGATCCACCATTCATCCTTCCAGTCCCTATCTTCCTTACTGTGTTACAATGTTATTGTTTTGTATATGTTGTAGTTTGTGATGTGCTTTTGTATACACAATTAAACCTTTAGCTGCCATGGATGTAAAACACAACAAACTACACATTTTTGTATTTATTCATAATTGTGCCCCTTTTAGTTTTTAAACCCTTTGTGAGACCTTACTTTATAGAGGCCCAAGTTTTTATAGAATTGAATAAGATGAATCCTAACCCTGTTAATGATCCATATGTGTGTGCAGATTGTCCTTACTGAAATGTACTCAGATGGCTTTCACCGCTCCTTCTGTGACAATGATGACGACCTTGAGATCATTCAAGAGAGTGACTCCATATTTGCCTTTGAAACACCTGAGCTCTTTAGACCAGAGCAGATCCGCTCTCAGCGAGGTATGACTTCAGGTTTGGTTCCCCGTAAATCAGTTTAGCTCTGGGTCGTATTAGGGACGTATTAGCTCTAGGTCGTATGAAGAGTGTAGATTAGATTACAAATAGATTAACATAGGATTTCATTGGAAATCATGTTTAATCCGGATTTTATTACCTACATTACATGACCAAAAGTATGTGGACACCTGCTCGTCGAAAATCTCATTCCAAAATCATGGGCATTAATATGAAGTTGGTCCCCCTTTTGCTGCTATAACAGCCTCTACTCTTCTGGGGAGGCTTTCCACCAGATGTTGGAACAGTGCTGTGGGGGCTTGCTTCCATTCAGCCACAAGAGCCTTAGTGAGGTTGGGCACTGATGTTGGGCGATTAGGCCAGGCTCGCAGTCGGCGTTCCAATTCATCCCAAAGGTGTTTAATGGGGTTGAGGTCAGGGCTCTGTGCAGGCCAGTCAAGTTCTTCCCCACCGATCTTGACAAACCATTTCAGTATGGACCTCGCTTTGTGCATGGGGGCATTGTCATGCTGAAACAGGAAAGGGCCTTCCCCAAACTGTTGCCACAAATTTGGAAGCACAGAATCGTCTAGAATGTCATTGTATGCTGTAGCGTTAAGATTTCCCTTCACCAAACTTTACAGTTGGCACTATGCATTCGGGCAGGTAGCGTTCTCCTGGCATTTGCCAAACCCAGATTCGTCTGTCGGACTGCCAGATGGTGAAGCGTGATTCATCAATCCAGAGAACGCATTTCCACTGCTCCAGAGTCCAATGGCGGAAAGCTTTACACCACTCCAGCTTACGCTTGTGTGCGGCTGCTTGGCCATGGAAACCCATTTCATGAAGCTCCCAACTAACCGTTCTTGTGCTGACATTGCTTCCAGTGGCAGTTTGGAATTCGGTAGTGAGTGTTGCAACCGAGGACAGACGATTTTTACGCACTACGCGTTTCAGCACTCGGCGGTCCCGTTCTGTGAGCTTGGGTGGCCTACCACTTCGCGGGTGAGCCGTTGTTGTGGTCCTCTGTAGCTCAGCTGGTAGAGCACGGCGCTTGTAACGCCAAGGTAGTGGGTTCGATCCCCGGGACCACCCATACACAAAAAAAAATAAAAAATGTATGCACGCATGACTGTAAGTCACTTTGGATAAAAGCGTCTGCTAAATGGCATATTATTATTATTATTATTATTATTATTATTATTATTATTGTTGCTCCTAGACGTTTCCACTTCACAATAACGGCACTTACAGTTGACCGGGGCAGCTCTAGCAGGGCAGAAACTTGAAGAACTGACTTCTTGGAAAGGTGGCATCCTATGACGGTGACACGTTGAAAGTCACTGAGCTCTTCAGTAAGGCCATTCTACTGCCAATGTTTGTCTATGGAGATTGCATGGCTGTGTTCTCGATTTTATACACCAGTCAGCAATGGCTGTGGCTGAAAAAGCCAAAATACTCATTTGAAGGGGTGTCCACATACTTTTGTAAATATGGTGTATGTTCTCCCTCACTGATACGTATGCAGTATCTTTTGGAAAATGTTCTATGAGCTCAATAAGAAGTGGGTATATGGATATGCGTCCGTATTCCAGAATCTGACATATTGTGATGGTTAACAGCCTTATTCAACAAATTTGCATCTTTCACTGACCTGAAGCAGGCTTTGATCTTTGACGTCATTAAACCTTACGATAATGTGACTGTAACCCAGGTTTAAGTATGTTCGATATAGAACTCAAAGTTTGTTCATATAGTGCTGTATATACATGTTATATACTGTAATGTGTTTCAGGAAGTCCCCATGCTAATCTGAACCAGAACAACTTAAAGTATGGGACAGACAACAGGACACAGGTATCAACAAAAATAGAAGAGTCAGTGACTCCCCCTCCGAGCCCCAATAAGAACAGCGGGGCTGACAAGATCATTCTGCTTGTGTGTAACAGAGCCTGCGCTGGACAGCAGGGACGCAGGTACACAAAACAACTCAAGATTTCAAAATTCAACATTCAAAATGGCACCAGGAAGAGAAGATCTCAGGAACCTGTTCATACAATGTAGATGAAAACTAATTTGATATACAGTGAGGGAACAAAGTATTTGATTCCCTGCTGATTTTGTACGTTTGCCCACTGACAAAGAAATTATCAGTCTATCATTTTAATGGTAGGTTTATTTGAACAGTGAGACAGAATAACAACAAAAAAATCCAGAAAAACGCATGTCAAAAATTGTATAAATTGATTTGCATTTTAATGAGGGAAATAAGTATTTGACCCCTCTGCAAAACATGACTTAGTACTTGGTGGCAAAACCCTTGTTGGCAATCACAGAGGTCAGACGTTTCTTGTAGTTGGCCACCAGGTTTGCACACATCTCCAGAGGGATTTTGTTCCACTCTTTGCAGATCTTCTCCAAGTCATTAAGGTTTCGAGGCTGACGTTTGGCAACTCAAACCTTTAGCTCCCTCCACAGATTTTCTATGGGATTAAGGTCTGGAGACTGGCTAGGCCACTCCAGGACCTTAATGTGCTTCTTCTTGAGCCACTCCTTTGTTGCCTTGGCCGTGTGTTTTGGGTCATCGTCATGCTGGAATACCCATCCCCGACCCATTTTCAATGCCCTGGCTGAGGGAAGGAGGTTCTCACCCAAGATTTGACGGTACATGGCCCCGTCCATCGTCCCTTTGATGCGGTGAAGTTGTCCTGTCTCCTTAGCAGAAAAACACCCCCAAAGCATAATGTTTCCACCTCCATGTTTGACTGTGGGGATGGTGTTCTTGGGGTCATAGGCAGAAATTCCTTCTCCTCCAAACACGGCGAGTTGAGTTGATGCCAAAGAGCTCGATTTTGGTCTCATCTGACCACAACACTTTCACTCAGTTCTCCTCTGAATCATTCAGATGTTCATTGGCAAACTTCAGACGGGCCTGTATATGTGCTTTCTTGAGCAGGGGGACCTTGCGGGCGCTGCAGGATTTCAGTCCTTCACGGCGTAGTGTGTTACCAATTGTTTTCTTGGTAACTATGGTCCCAGTTGCCTTGAGATCATTGACAAGATCCTCCCGTGTAGTTTTGGGCTGATTCCTCACCGTTCTCATGATCATTGCAACTCCACGAGGTGAGATCTTGCATGGAGTCCCAGGTGGAGGGAGATTGACAGTTATTTTGTGTTTCTTCCATTTGCGAATAATCGCACCAACTGTTGTCACCTTTTCACCAATCTGCTTGGCGAGGGTCTTGTAGCCCATTCCAGCCTTGTGTTGGTCTACAATCTTGTCCCTGACATCCTTGGAGAGCTCTTTGGTCTTGGCCATGGTGGAGAGTTTGGAATCTGATTGATTGATTGCTTCTGTGGACAGGTGTCTTTTATACAGGTAACAAGCTGAGATTAGGAGCACTCCCTTTAAGAGTGTGCTCCTAATGTCAGCTCGTTACCTGTATAAAAGACACCTGGGAGCCAGAAATCTTTCTGATTGAGAGGGGGTCAAATACTTATTTCCCTCATTAAAATGCAAATCAATTTATAACATTTTTTACATGCGTTTTTCTGGATTTTTTTGTTGTTATTCTGTCTCTCACTGTACAAATAAACCTACCATTAAAATTATAGACTGATAATTTCTTTGTCAGTGGGCAAACGTACAAAATCAGCAGGGGATCAAATACTTTTTTCCCTCACTGTAGTTATGTTAGATGTGGAAAACCTTGTTCTTTACCTTGACTATGACGATTCCAGGTTTGGTCATCCCTTTGTGCTGTATCTGGAAAGGACGGTCACCTGGGACGTTCTGCAGAAGGAGATCCTGGAGAAGATGCGCCACCTTATGCGTCCTGGGGTCTTTGTCCAGGTAGGTGCAGGCTATCCACACAGACACTCATTCAACTCACACACAGACATAACACAACACACACAACACACACACATGTAAAGGTGTAACTAAACTTATTGCCGTCCTTCAGGTTGGGCCCTTCAGTTTGCGTGTAGTGGGGGTGGTTGGAATAATGTATCTCTTACCTCAAGAGGAGCAACCACTGTGCCACCCTTCTGTGGAGAGGTAATGTCACCCAATGCCACCAGAGGGAGCATGTCTCTCACAGATAGAGGACTATTAGCAAATGTTACCGTATGCCACCAGAGGGAGCATGTCTCTCACAGATAGAGGACTATTAGAAAATGTTACCGTTAGCCTTGTGGTCAAACCTTCAATTTTTCAGTGTGTTTAGCCTTTTGTTCAACCCTTCCATGGTTTTTGGCATGTCTTAAACCGTCTGGGTTGTTGTTCAATACGTAGCATGCCCTGTTTTCCACATTGAGCTGTCATAGGGCTCAAAGATAATGTTGCTTTGACTTCCTATTGATCCAATGTTTGTCTGCAGAGCGTACAAATCTTGCGGTCCGGGAGGCCCCCCACATGTCAAGATTGTGGTTGAGTGGGACAAAGAGACAAAAGACTAGTAAGTGTAATGGGGCAAAACTAGCGGTTGGAACAAAAATAATTTTCCAATCGTTTCGTTCTGAATAGAACCCCCCCAAAAATATGTTCCATTCAACTGTTCCGACCAGCAAAATAAAGTTCTGAAGTACATGTTGATATCGTTCCTTTCTGTTCCTTTTTTAACCTGTGAAATCAACATTAAAAAAAAAACATTGAGCTCAATAAATTACTTCACCAGTCAGTGCGAATAGAGCTGTTTGCTATAGAGTGGGCAAGCTAGTTGTTAACATGCATGATGGACAGACAAGTGTAGCTAGGGTGTGAGATGTGACAGAAATGTTGCGGGTGGTGAGAGAGGGTGGAGGAGGAGGCTTGGCTTGAAGCGCTGTGCATCTTGTTATGACATGCATTATCTGAATTAGGCCCACAGAATTATACGCTACATACGGAGGAATGACTTCTATGGAGGAACTTTGAATGTTTGTGCAGAGCTGCACCAGAATTAAAAATACTTCTTACCAGGGCCGAGTGGCGCAGCGGTCTAAGGCACTGCATCGCAGTGCTAGAGGTGTCACTACTGACCCGGGTTCGATCCCGGCCTGTATCACAAGCGGCCGTGATCTGGAGTCCCATAGGGCAGTGCACAATTGGCCCAGCGTCGTCCACTCTTTGTGGCGGGTCGGGCGCCTGCAGGCTGACCTCGGTCGTCAGGTGAACGGTGTTTCCTCCAACACATTGGTGCGGCTGGCTTCCTGGTTAAGCGGGCGGGTGTTAAGAAGCGCGGTTTGGCTAGTCTTGTTTCGGAGGACGCATGACTCGACCTTCGCCTCTCGAGCCCGTTGGGGAGATGCAGCGATCAAAAATGGGGTAAAATACTTCTTACCTTTTTGTAGTTAATAAATCCAATGTGAAATATGATAATTAGTATCTTTAACTAGCATTGGAAAAGTTGATCCATTCCTCTCTAATAAAAAATCTCTCTCCCCATCTTCTGAATCACGCTTATAACGTCAGTATTCTACTGTAGCCTATGCTTCGGAGGGGGGAGGGGCAGGTAGCCTACACGTACACACACTGGCAAAGATCTTCAGCTGGCTGGCAGACACTGGAAGAAGCTTCTGAGTGACAGAGTGAGGGCATTGCATAGGCACTTGGTTGCAGTTTTTGTAGGATGTTAGTAACCGGTTCCCATGATTTTAAAATAACAATTCTGTTCCGGAACATTATAGATCAATTTCGTTCCAGGTTCTGTTTCTGTTCCTCAAAAAATTTCTTTATTTTCCGGTTTTCAGTTCTGTTCCCTGAACCGGTTCCAACCCCTGGGCAAAACCCACTATGCTGAGAGGGAAAGACACTCACCTCTGTCATCTTGATAGAGTGCACACATTCAGCAATGACTAGCAGACGTTCATACTTTAAGAAAAAATATTTTGCTGTTTGAAGAGAATGTGAATTCAAAGCAATTGTTGTGACTGAGGTCTCAGAAGTTTTCCTTGTTTCTGTTTGTCAGCACAATTTAATATGACTTTCATGGTTTCCTTTGGAGCTTGTTGTGTGACCTCTATGTTGACCTGTGCTGTTTATTTGTTGTGTCTGACTACAGTCTGTTCAAGCGCACTGAGGATGAGTACATCCCAGATGCTGAGAGTGTACGCCAACAGAAAGACGGACACCTGCAGCCTCAGACATGCTCCCTCGCCCAGTGCTTTCAGCTCTACACCAGAGAGGAACAGGTACATAAGTGTGCGTGTGTGTGTGTGTGTGTGCATGCACATTCATTTATGTTTGTGTGTTTGAGAGCTCTGCTCTGTGTGTTTCAGCTAGCTCCAGATGATGCCTGGCGCTGCCCGCATTGCAAGCAGCTACAGCAGGGCAGCATCAAGCTGAGCCTCTGGACCCTGCCTGACATCCTCATACTCCACCTCAAACGCTTCAGACAGGTACAGACCACTGCACTATACATCATCATTCATACAACTACATAGCTGACAGATCAAAATGTACTAGGGGGGAGGGGTGGTCCAAAATAGGGGGGGGGGGGTTGTCCAACTTTTTTTTTGCTTTGTGGGAGGGTTGTGTGTTTTTTGGGGGGGCGCAGGGGAGGGTAGTGTGTTTTTTCCCTGGTTTACATTTGCTCTTCTGCTCGTATTTTCCCTATAAACAATGCCTTGACTTACTTTTGATATTACCATAATAAATAGGGGTGTAACGATTCGTTTTAACAACGATTCGATTTGTATCACGATTCGTGGTTGTCGATACGATTCAAGGACGATATTGGTTCATTTAGAACGATACGATCCGAAACGATTCAGTGACTTGAAATCGATTCAGTAACCTTTTAGCCAAAAATTCAACCAGTGTGACTGAAATAAATACCTGGATACTGGACAGTGCAGGTGAAGTTTCCTAGATTCCTGTTTCTTGTAAGGACCGCAATGGTGGCTTGATAATTTCTCGCTCGTCGGCTTCTCCTCTGTCGTCCGCCATGCTATGTTTTGTTGTCTTTGCGCCTTTGCGCTGCTGCTGGCGCGGGGCGATGACGTCACGGATAGGCAGACTGAATCGAGTAATGTTTAAAGCCTTTATCATTAAAAGTGCTAAGAAAAAACATCCATATAAAGTCTGACGTGCTTAAATCCAATGGGTTATTTCCTAGTATCGATACAATCGATTTATTACATTTTAAAACGATGTTAGATTGATATATGTTGTCCAAAAGGCCAACTCGCCGAGCACAGATCGATGTAGTTGGATCATAGGAATATAAATCGATACATCGATGTAGTAGATGGATCGTTACACCCCTAATAATAAAGTTTAGAAATGTTTGTGAAGGTTTGGTATGGTGTGACTGTTATTAAGCTTTAGCTACTGCAGGCCTATGATATGCAGGCAGTGTGCCCCTGCACTCCAACTGACTCCGACAGTTGAACTTGAGGTGAGGAAGACTGTTTCAGGCCTACCAGAGTTACTCCTATAATCTAACAATATAATGCTTATCTTTATATAAAATATTAGCGTTGAAAATTAACGAATTACCCTCCTTCTGTACGTCTATTTAAGTGATAATGCCCGAGAACCCGGTGTTTGGAGGATATATTGGCATGGGTGTTGCCAAACCGTGCCAATATATCTTCCAAAAACCGGCTTCAAGGGCATTATCACTTTTATACGGGTTACCAACATATTCAAATAATGATTTACATATTTTCATTAAAAACATTATTTTTTATTAATTTATTCATACTATTTCATCCTTCCACAAAATATAGTCCCGGCACAAATCAAGGGTTGCTACCCAAGCCGACTGGTCGTTCGTTCTATTGGTTCGGTTGCCAGAGACGTGACCCAGTCGTTCAGTCTTTTTGTTCTGTATCTATGGACTCGACCCAGTCGTTCGTTCTAAATGTTCCATTGCCATACTGGCTGGCAACGTTCTTATCCCTTGCCTTCTAGCTAACTTAGTCATGTCAAACAGTGCTTCTAGAATAATAGCAAAGTAGCTGCGTTTGCATTTATTTAAGCTGTTTTCTAGTGACATTTATTTGGATACACCATAACAATGAGCTAATGATGCGCGATTTCGCCTGGCATAGAAAATGTGCTCTCTCGTCACTTGTTCAGAGGAGCTAGCCAACAACACAGCTAACCCAATCACTTCAAACTGAAGCTGGAAAGACGGCAAATTAGCTGCACTTCGTTTAGTTTTACCTGTTTTCTATTGATACTTCTTTGTATATATCCATACAAATGATGCTTATTCATGATTTCGACTGGCTGAAAAAAGCTGCCTGCCTGTCTGTCTCATCCCGACTCCCGACACGTTCATTACTATGGGACATCTGGAGATCGAATTTGAATATTGAAACAATGTTGCAAATGTCGGAGATGCAGAGATCAAGGTTTATACAAATCTCTCTTTATACAAATCTCTGCTGTTGTAAACTAAATGTTAGTCTAAAAGAAATGTGAGATAATGTCTAGATACTTTTTATAGTGGAGATCAAGTTTATAAAGTGCCTGGCTGGGCTGATGAGACAGTGGATTGCGCAGGCAGATGGAACAGAGTAATGCATGTTGGTGTCGTAGCATGCCATCGTCATATCTCTATCTCTCTGGGGTTAGGCCTAAGCTTCTCTTTCTTTATGTACAGTACCAGTCAAAAGTTTGGACACGCCTACTAGGGTTTTTCTTTATTTTTACTATTTTCTACATTGTAGAATAATAGTGAAGACATCAAAACTATGAAATAACACATATGGAATCATGTTGTAACCAAAAAAGTGTTAAACAAATCAAAATATATTTTATATTTGAGATTCTTCAAAGTAGCCACCCTTTGCCTTGATGACAGCTTTGCACACTCTTGGCATTCTCTCAACCAGCTTCACCTGGAATGCTTTTCTAACAGTCTTGAAGGAGTTCCCACATATGCTGAGCACTTGTTGGCTGCTTTTCCTTCACTCTGTGGTCCAACTCATCCCAAACCATCTCAATTCGGTTGAGGTCGGGTGATTGTGGAGGCCAGGTCATCTGATGCAGCACTCCATCACTCTCCTTCTTGGTCAAATAGCCCTTACACAGCCTGGAGGTGTGTTGTTGCATTGTCCTGTTGAAAAACAAACGATAGTCCCATTAACCGCAAACCAGATGGGATGGCGTATCGCTGCAGAATGCTGTGGTAGCCATGCTGGTTAAGTGTGCCTTGAATTCTAAATAAATCACAGTCAGTGTCACCAGCAAAGCACCATCACACCTCCTCCTCCATGCTTCACGGTGGGAACCACACATGCGGAGATCATCCGTTCACCCACTCTGCATCTCACAAAGACACGGTGGTTAGAACCGTGTCTTTGTCATCAGACAGATTTCCACCGGTCTAATGTCCATTGCTCGTGTATCTTGGCCCAAGCAAGTCTCTTCTTCTTATTGGTGTCCTTTAGTAGTGGTTTCTTCGCAGCAATTCGACCATGAAGGCCTGATTCATGCAGTCTCCTCTGAACAGTTGATGTTGAGATGTGTCTGTTACTTGAACTTTGTGAAGCATTTATTTGGGCTGCAATTTCTGGGGCTGCTAACTCTAATTAACTTATCCTCAGCAGCAGAGGTAACTCTGGGTCTTCCTTTCCTGTGGCGGTCCTCATGAGAGCCAGTTTCATCATTGCACTTGATGGTTTTTGCAACTGCACTTGAAGAAACTTTCAAAGTTCTTGAAATTGTCCAGATTGACTGACCTTCATGTCTTAAAGTAATGATGGACTGTCGTTTCTCTTTGCTTACTTGAGCAGTTCTTGCCATAATATGGACTTGGTCTTTTACCAAATTGGGCTATCTTCTGTATACCATCCTTACCTTGTCATAACACAACTGATTGGCTCAAACGCATTAAGAAGGAAAGACATTCCACAAATTAACGCAAAATGCATTCCAGGTGACTACCTCATGAAGCTGGTTGAGAGAATGCCAAGAGTGTGCAAAGCTGTCATCAAGGCAAAGGTTGGCTACTTTGAAGAATCTCAAATATAACATACATTTTGATTTGTTTAACACTTTTTTGGTTACTACATGATTCCATGTGTGTTATTTCATAGTTTTTGATGTCTTCACTATTATTCTACAATGTAGAAAATGGTAAAAAATATAAGAAAAACTCTTGAATGAATAGGTGTGTCCAAACTTTTGACTGGTACAGTATGTTATTTTTTTTACTGACAAATAAAATCAGTCAATCAATCAATCCAAACTGTGCAGCAGCCAATTGATGAATGGAAAGAGATATCTGTTACAATTTTTTTTGTAATGACATTTGGAGATTGTCAAGCCAGGCCTTCGATACTGGATAAGCCTACAAGGTAGGGAGGGATGGATTTTCTGTTTGTCGAAATTGACATAGTCTATTTATTGTGGTGTTGAAAACGCAAACTATGATATTGAAGTGCCCAAAGTCGGTATGCTTTTTTTATTGGTTGTATGGTGCATTGACACAGAAACCTCTTGGAGGAAAATTCGTTCCATATATTTTACATATATGGCATCAAAATGTATAAAATCAGATATCCCCCTAGCTGATTATTGTCTGCAGCCGGCTCTGATCGTAGTGTAATGAAACAGGCAGGGAGAGTGAGCTCGTCTGTGGTGGTCAGTGAACCCTCAACCTTCTGGCCCATAGCCCTGCGTGGTGTCGACTGTGCCATAGCCCTGCGTGGTGTCGACTGTGCCACAAAAGCAAAGTGGCAAAGTCAATATCCACGTTTATAAACACAGGGTTGCTACAGCTATTGTTATTTGTGGTCGTAAACATTATTTTGAGTTAATTATATGAGGGTGGAGGGTGTTCAATGTATTTTACAGTACAAGGGGAGGGTCATGTGTAAATATTTGTAACTTTGGGGAGGGGGGTGCATTTCTTCTTATGACACCTTGAGTTGGACAAGCTCCTCCCCCCTAGTACATTTCATTCTGCCCTAATCAAAGTGTACAGTATAAGCACAGTTAGCACAGGAATCAAGTAAAAATAGTTTTTAATTCAAAGTGCACGTGTATAGATCCTATTACTAGTGTATGTCAACACTAATATTATGTTCATTCTTACAAGCTCAGTCAGCATTGTAAACTCAACCAATCTGCATTAGTATAGTTAGCATTCCACACTCAACCAACATAATCCAATTTGTTGCTCTTGTGCGTGTGTGTATGGTGTCCTCTCAGGACGGAGACAAGAGGATGAAGATGCAGAACATGGTGAAGTTCCCTGTGATCGGGATGGACATGGCGCCCCATATGGTCAAGCGGAGCCAGAGCAGCTGGAGCCTGCCCTCGCACTGGTCGCCATGGAGACGACCTTACGGGATGGGCCACGACCCAGAGGACTACCTGTATGACCTGTATGCTGTGTGTAACCACCATGGGACAATGGCAGGAGGTCATTACACAGGTTAGTTAACGACACACACTCTAATATGTTCCGGCAGCAGAGGGATAGCAGTTGACAGGTTTGCTGACTCAAATCCCAATGGGGAGCCAGCAGCATACCACCCTGCATCCCACTACTGGCTTGCCTCTGAAGCTAAGCAGGGTTGGTCCTGGTTGGTCCCTGGATGGGAGATCAGATGCTGCTGGCAGTGGTGTTGGACGGCCAGTAGGAGGTACTCTTTTCTCTGGTCCCCCCCAAAATAATGATATCCTAATGCCCCAGGGCAGTGATTGGGGACATTGCCCTGTGTAGGGTGCTGTCTTTTGGATGGGAGGTTAAATGGGTGTCCAGACTCTCTGTGGTCACTAAAGATCCCATTGCACTTATTGTAAGAGTAGCGGTGTTAACCCTGGTGTTCTGACTAAGTTCCATCATACCATCATGGCCACCTAATCATCCCCAGCTTCCAATTGGCTCATTCATTTCCTTTCCCCTGTAACTATTCCCAAGGTCTTTGCTGTAAATGAGAATGTGTTCTCAGTCAACTCACCTTGTAAAATAAAATAATTGTGATGGGGAAAGAAATCGAAACAGTTACATATCGCAATATAATTTTGGACGATGTTAAATCGATATTTGACTCCAAGTATCGATTTGTAATCATATCCTATAGCTTGTTCTACATTTTCTTTTTAAATAGTGAGCCAACATGTTTTCAGCACTTTTATTTCCCTGACTGATCAAAACTCATTTTCTCATGCGCTCTCGTTTCTCTCTGCAGTAGACCTATAGTGAGCAATATGTTTGGAACATCAAATTACAATAAAATCGCAGTATTGAATTGCAATGCATTTAGAATTGTGAGAATCACAATACATATCGTATCGGCACCTAAGTATCGTGATAATATCGTATTGTGTGGTCCATGTCAATTCCCAGCCCTAGTTACAATGCTGTTGTGCCCTTGAGAAAGCCACTTACTCCATGTATTGCTAAATATACAGTCCACCATACTTTAAAAAATGGAAGCAATGTGTATGCTTTTTCCATTTTAAAAAACGCTGTAGGGAGGTGATTGGAATCCATATACCTGCTCTTTATAGAAACTAAAATAATTCAAATCCACTGAATTATCTAGGTAACATGATCATTGACTCTTTATCCCATCCTTATTGTGTCCTCTTTTGCAGCTCACTGTAAGAACTCCATCGATGGCATGTGGTACTGCTTTGACGACAGTGATGTCCAAGCCATATCTGACGATGAAGTCTGCAAGCAGAACGCCTACATACTGTTTTATCAAAGACGGGCCACCATCCCATCATGGTCTGCTAACAGCTCCGTTGCAGGTAAGAATATGCATTTGTTAAAAACCAATTTCATTCACAATTCTATGGATTGCAAATGTTTTACAAACAACAAGATGCAACAATGTCATAGATAGATAGGACAAGGCTCCATACTAACTTTTCCCCTGGTGGCACCAGCCCATGATATGGTCGCACCCTCAAAAAATTACGCCGTCATGCAATAGAAAACATTTGTAAGCATCTTATATGTGACCGACCGCCTCGATTCGGTCTAATGTTGCAAACTTTGAAATTGTGTTTTTTACATTGGACAAAAGTAGAGACTCAGAGCTAGAAAATTGTATATCATACACTGCAGTTGAGGAACAATGGGAAAGTAAATTCTGCTTTGAAAGTTTATAAACTTGTAACCCCACTTTTGAGAAAATGGCCCTTGAATGTTTTGGTACACCTACTGGAGAGCTCTTCTTCTTCAAAGAGGTTTAACGGCGGTTGGCATCCAATTTGTTGCATTACCGCCACCTACTAGACTGGAGTACAACTCCCTTATATTTTGCTTGAAAAATAAAATAAAATAAAGAAATACCCTACCATCTAACACTACACTCACAAATTCAAAATTACTATTAATAATTAACACCACCCTTCTCCACTATTGAAATATATTAATTCCTACCTCATGCCCTGAACCTGAAATGATGGGACATCACCACTTAACACTCCCTGTAACTCTTCTGATGTCAAGTCTCACACACCCAAATACCTCTCTACAGCTGCCACCACAACCTCAATTTTCTTCGACTTACGTTCCATCCCTGCAGTACAATTAATAACCATTGCTATAAACGCTAAAAATCCAATCTTACTGAAACATATATCACTTGTTGGCCTATCCCTCTGTACTGGTACAAATCTACTACTCTCACCACTCCTCCCCCTTGACCCCTCTTCCTCTACTTTCTTCACTGCCTCAGCATATGACAACTTCTTCACTACTCTTACCCTGGAAACCTCAACCTGCTTCTCTCGCACAGGACATTTCTGATCCCCAGCCCCTACAATTAGCACATACCACTACTTACCCCAATGCTACACATTCCTTTATTTCATGCCCTTCTGCACACTTCTCACACCTTGGAACCTCCCTCCTACATACTGCTGCCACATGCCCATAAGACACCTGTAACATCGTAATGTATTCCGCACATAAGCTCATACAGGATAACTAATACAGTTGAAGTCGGAAGTTAACATACACCTTAGCCAAATACAATTAAACTCAGTTTTTCACAATTCCTGACATTTAATCCTGATAAAAATTCCCTGCCATAGGTCAGTTAGGATCACCACTTTATTTTAAGAATGTGAAATGTTAGAATAATAGTAGAGGGAATTATTTATTTCAGCTTTATTTATTTCATCACATTCCCAGTGGGTCAGACGTTTACATACACTCAATTAGTATTTGGTAGCATTGCCTTTAAATTATTTAACTTGGGTCAAACATTTTGGGTAGCCTTCCACAAGCTTCCCACAATAAGTTGAGTGAATTCTGACCCATTCCTCCTGACAGAGCGGGTGTAAGTGAGTCAGGTTTGTAGACCTATTTGCTCGCACACGCTTTTTCAGTTCTGCCCACACATTTTCTATAGGATTGAGGTCAGGGCTTTGTGATGGCCACTTCAATACCTTGACTTTGTTGTCCTTAAGCCATTTTGCCACAACTTTGGAAGTATGCTTGGGGTCATTGTCCATTTAGAAGACCCATTTATGACCAAGCTTTAACTTCCTGACTGATGTCTTGAGATGTTGCTTCAATATATCCACATAATTTTCCTTCCTCATGATGCCATCTATTTTGTGAAGTCCACCAGTCCCTCCTGCAGCAAAGCACCCCCACAGCATGATGCTGCCACCCCCGTGCTTCACTGTTGGGATGGTGTTCTTTGGCTTGGAAGCCTTCCCCTTTTTCCTCCAAACATAACGATGGTCATTATGGCCAAACAGTTCTATTTTTGTTTCATCAGACCAGCGGACATTTCTCCAAAAAGTACATGTCCAGGCCCGTTTTTTATTGCGGTTTTGGATCAGTGGCTTCTTCCTTGCTGAGCGGCCTTTCAGGTTATGTCGATATAGGACTCGTTTTACTGTGGATATAGATACTTTTGTACCTGCTTCCTCCAGTATCTTCACAAGGTCCTTTGCTGTTGTTCTGGGACTGATTTGCACTTTTCACACCAAAGTACGTTCATCTCTAGGAGACAGAACGCGTGTCCTTCCTGAGCGGTATGATGGCTGCGTGGTCCTATGTTGTTTATACTTGCGTACTATTATTTGTACAGATGAACGTGGTACCTTCAGGCGTTTGGAAATTGCTCCTAAGGATGAACCAGAGGTTCAAAGACCTTGGTTACAACAAACTACCAATGGATCATTCATGTCCTTGTCTAGTTCCTTTCATAACGCAGAAGTAATTAAACGTTGGCTAGCTAGCACAAAGTCAGTCATGCTAGCTACACAAGTGGACTACACATCTCGAATGTTCAGAAAGTGAAGTTTATGTTGCAAAATTCTCATTGACTAAAATGATACAGTACTGCTAGCTGGTAATGTTGGCTAGCTAGCAGTGGCTGCGGTGTTGACTGTTTGAAAATGTAGCTGGCTAGCTAACCTCTATAGTTTCTCTATACTACACCTTTGTCTTTGATACCAAGACAACTATGTAGCTAGCTAACTTTACACTAATCAAATTGTTCCATTGAAATGTATTTAGTTGCTACAGTACTGCTAGCTGGTATAGTTGGCCAGCTAGCAGTGGCTGCGGTGTTACTACCCGCTAGCTAGCTAGCTTTAATGGTCCAGGTAGTGGGTTAGCTAGCTAGCCTTGTGCTTCACCGGGCTCAGCTGAATACACTAAAATACTTACCTACAATAATTACCTACAATAACTACCTGGGAAAACTACCTACAATACCTAACTACAATACCTACCTACAATCTAAATGCATGGTTTAAGCTTTACTCGACACATATAAAGAAGAAGCCAAGCTTACCTCCCCGCTTAGAGGAACACAACCTCGCCCCATACCTCCTGCGTCAATCCAATAGTTTTCAACCCATACAGTCTATGAGACCAGGCTGATTTAGCAAACATGATAACACAACTTCCAACTGACACAAGCATAAACCTTTTACAGAAATGTTGCAGCAGCCTCCTAAACAATAGACATCTAAGATCTGACCTGCCTTGAGCGCAGCCTGGTTTCATAGACTAGACATAACATCGTACGCTTTAATTTGCAATAAAAACAACTTTCTGACAAAATTAGAAACTTATATCTGAAATTGTAGCTAGACTCTTACCCGTATACATGGATGAACGCTTCACGGTAGACTGGAACCATTTAACTCAGTTTTGTTTGTAGCTACATCTTGTTTGGCAAGCGTTATGTCAAGTCACTCCGGTTCACACTGACCATGACATGTGCAGAAAGTGGCCCATCACTTTTTCCAACTGATCTGTTGATAGCGCCTGCTAAATTCAGGGCATCAATGTTCTTGAGAAAAGTAGCAAAACTTTTGTAGTTCTCGATGGATAACGTTATATCTTTCAAAAACGGTGCTGTAGAAAGGACTATCAACACATACTGAACAGCTCACGTTATAGACAGAAGTGTGCTACATGGCAGACCAATTCAAACTCATGTCCCGGCATGTCCAGCCCATCCATAAATCACAGCCAATCATGGCTAGTGGGAAGGCTCCTTTCTTTTTCCGTGGCTAAACCAACTAGGCTCATGGTATACAAGTTTGTTATTAAGGCACATAAAGGTTCACATGTTCCAGAAGGCATTTCTGCCAAAAAAATGCATTTAGATAAAAAATAAATGTTTATGTTCAAATGCTTCTCCTGTGATGTAGTGATGTGTGACATAGGCCTAGTTTCCTGAAACAAGTCACATATGGTCATTCACAGTGCTTTATTAAGAAGTTGAATAGACTAATGAAAAACTTTAACTCGCACAGCCAAGTCAAAGTGTCGTAAAATGAGACTAAATGGTCGCAGCCTGGAGCCCTGTAGTAGAATATCTGTGTCTCATTTGGTTTTTGCCTCACATCCAATCTCCCTGTAGAAGTCATGTCCTCCCTGACTGACACACATGAGCTAAAACCATAGACATATACATACAGGTAACTGCCAAAATAAAGGAAACACTTGAGTAAATGAGCGATACAACGTTTATTGAAAGTGGGTGTGGTTCCTGAGATAATTAAGTAATGAATACATCCCATCATGCTTAGGGTCATGTATGCCCATTATTTTGGCTACCATGGCTAGAAGAAGAGATCTCAGTGACTTTGAAAGAGGGGACTCAAAGGAGCATAGGGGGTTTAAAGTGTGTGTGTCTCAGTCACCAGATCTCAACCCATTTGAACACTTATGGGAGATTCTGGAGCGGCGCCTGAGACAGCGTTTTCCACCACCATCAACAAAACACCAAATGACCAAATGATGGAATTTCTCATGCAAGAATGGTATCGCATCCCTCCAATAAGGTTCCAGAAACTTGTAGAATTGTCACGATCGTCGGGAACAGAGGACCAAGGCGCAGCGTGGAAGGTGAACATATTTTTATTAATTAGAGTAATCACATGAACAAAACAACAAACGATAACGTGACGTCCTCGGTTCTAACACAAACCTAAACAGGAACAAGATCCCACAAACACTGTGGGAAAACTGGCTGCCTAAGTATGGTTCCCAATCAGAGACAACAAGCAACAGCTGATACACGTTGCCTCTGATTGAGAACCACACTGGCCAACATAGAAATACTAACCTAGAACGAAAAACAAATGAAAACTCACACCCTGGCTCAACATACTAGAGTCCCCAGAGCCAGGGCGTGACAGTACCCCCCCCACAAAGACGCGGACTCTGACCGCGCCAACCAAACACCACAGGGGAGAGACCGGGTGGGCACTCCGCCCTGGCGGCGGATCCGGCTCCGGGCATGATCCCCACTCCCTCTCTAACCCCCCAAAGTACCCCTGGTCCGGTCTGGCCCTGCTGACCGGAGCTGGACTGCACACTGGTGGAGCGGATTGCTCTAGCTCCGGCGTGAAGCAGCTGACCCGTGCCGAACCAGGCACCAGTGGAACAGGCACGGGCTGTGCCGAACTGACGACGCACACCACTGGCTTGGTGTGGGGAGCAGGGACGGGCCGAGCCGGGCTGACAAAACGCACCCCTGACTTGGTGCGGGGAGCAGGAGCGGGCCGGACCGGGCTGACGAAGCGCACCACTGACTTGGTGCGGGGAGCAGGAATGGACCGAGCCGGGCTGACGAAGCGCACCACTGACTTGGTGCGGGGAGCAGGAACAGGCCGGGCCGAGCTGGCGACGCGCACCATAGGCTTGGTGCGAGTGGCAGGAACAGGCCGGACCGTACTGGGAACACACACCACTGGCCCTACGCGGGGATCAGGAACAGGCCGGACCGGACTGGCAACACACCCCAGTACCTCTCGCCGTGCCTCTACATCCTCTTTCCCCCTGGTGACCAGTGACTCCCGTAACCTGGCGGCCTCCTACTGCCCCGTCGTCCACGGTGTGAGCCCCCCCCTAAAAATGTTCTGGCCGTCTCTCCTACCCGTGGACCAGGTCTCCATGTCTCTCGCCAGACTTTCGCCCTTCTGCTTCCAAGTCCAGCCTCTCTCTTCCTCACACGGCTTGACCCAGTCGAGGAGGAGAAGGAGATCCGCTAGAGATCTCCCTGGCGATGGCCCCTGGACACGCTGCTTGGTCCAGTCTTGGTGGGATCTTCTGTCACGATCGTCGGGAACAGAGGACCAAGGTGCAGCGTGGAAGGTGAACATATTTTTATTAATTAGAGTAATCACACGAACAAAACAACAAACGATAACGTGACGTCCTCGGTTCTAACACAAACCTAAACAGGAATAAGATCCCACAAACACTGTGGGAAAACTGGCTGCCTAAGTATGGTCCCCAATCAGAGACAACAAGCAACAGCTGATACACGTTGCCTCTGATTGAGAACCACACTGGCCAACATAGAAATACTAACCTAGAACGAAAAACAAATGAAAACTCACACCCTGGCTCAACATACTAGAGTCCCCAGAGCCAGGGCGTGACAAGAATCTATGCCACAGCGCATTCAAGATGTTCTGGTGGCTCGTGGTGGCCCAACGCCTAATAAGAAACTTTATGTTGGTGTTTCCTTTATTTTGGCAGTTACCTGTATGTGCACATATGATTTATATAGTGTATATTAGGACTGCATGATATGTTCAAAAAATATAATAGCTACGTTTTTTTAACCAAATATTGTGATTGTGATCTGACTTGCGATATAAGTCCAAAGGTCAAAAGACTGCTGAAATCATAGAAATAGAATGACTTATATTAAGAAAGCAAAGTGGAAAGCAGCATTGTCCATGTTTGGAACAATCGGTTAGCTGCATTTGTCCTAACAGAACCGCATGCAAGCTTAATAGCGAATGTAACACCGACGAGGAGGAACATACAGGGGGTAGGGCTTTGTGTGTGGGAAGTAGCAGCAAGAGGAGAGAGTAAGAGATGGGAAACAGAATAAACTATAAAAATGGACGTTACATGCGGCTGAGTGGCGTTTCACAATATTGGATACGATATGGATCTCTTCCGATATGGTATGTGAATTTGATTAATTGTGCAGCCCTAGTGTATACATACAGATAACATATACAGTGAGGGAATAAAGTATTTGATCCCCTGCTGATTTTGTACGTTTGCCCACTGACAAAGACATGATCAGTCTATAATTTTAATGGTAGGTTTATTTGAACAGTGAGAGACAGAATAACAACAAAAAAATCCTGAAAAACGCATGTCAAAAATGTTATAAATTGATTTGCATTTTAATGAGGGAAATAAGTATTTGACCCCTCTGCAAAACATGACTTAGTACTTGGTGGCAAAACTCTTGTTGGCAATCACAGAGGGCAGACGTTTCTTGTAGTTGGCCACCAGGTTTGCACACATCTCAGGAGGGATTTTGTCCCACTCCTCTTTGCAGATCTTCTCCAGGTCATTAAGGTTTCGAGGCTGACGTTTGGCAACTCGAACCTTCAGCTCCCTCCACAGATTTTCTATGGGATTAAGGTCTGGAGACTGGCTAGGCCACTGATCATTTCTTTGTCAGTGGGCAAACGTACAAAATCAGCAGGGGATCAAATACTTTTTTCCATCACTGTATGTCCTTTGTTGGCTCCTCCCAGGTTCGACCAGCTCGTCTCTGTGTGAACACTGGATCAGCAGGCTGATGGGGAGTCGTCCTCCCAGCCAGGCCTCATCCGGCTCCTCCAGACGCACCTCGCTGGCCTCCCTCTCCGAGTCAGCCGAGTTCGCTGGAGAACGCAGCGAAGATGACGGTGAGAAACAGCCTCTCATCCATATTTGTCAGGATGTTGCATTTCTGTGATATCAAATCAAATATGTTTACACAACGACAGTACTTTGAACTAAAGTTGATACAAAATACAGTGCATTAAGAAAGTATTCAGACCCCTTGACTTTTTCCACATTTTGTTACGTTACAGCCTTATTCTAAAATGGATTGAAAAAAAACAATCCTCATCAATCTACACACAATACTAGCTGAAATAGCAAAATCCACTAAATTAGAGAGGTGTATATATATTTTTGTATATATAGTGCCTTCGGGAAGTATTCAGACCCCTTGACTCTTTCCACATTTTGTTACGTTACAGCCTTATTCTAAAATTGATTAAATACTTTTTTTCCCTCATCAATCTACACACAATACCCCATAATGACGAAGCAAAAACAGGATTTTAGAAATGTTTGCTAATTTATAAAAAATCTAAAAATGGAAATATCACATTTATATAAGTATTCAGACCCTTTACTCTGTACTTTATTGAAGCACCTTTGACAGCGATTACAGCCTTGAGTCTTCTTGGGTATTATGCTACAAGCTTGGCACACCTGTATTTAGGGAGTTTCTCCCATTCTTCTCTGCAGATCCTCTCAAGCTCTGTCAGGTTGGATGGGGAGTGTCGCTGCACAGCTATTTTCAGGTGTCTCCAGAGATGTTTGATCAGGTTTTAGTCCGGGCTCTGGCTGGGTCACTCAAGGACATTCAGAGACTTGTCCTGAAGCTACTCCTGCGTTGTCTTGGCTGTGTGCTTAGGGTCGTTGTCCTGTTGGAAGGTGAACCGTCACCCCAGTCTGAGGTTATGAGCGCTCTGGAGCAGGTTTTCATCAAGGATCTCTGTGCTTTGCACCGTTAATCTTTCCCTTGATCCTGACTAGTCTCCCAGTACCTTCCGCTGAAATACATCCCCACAGCATGATGCTGCCACCACCATGCTTCACTGTAGGTGCCAGGTTTCCTCCAGACGTGACGCTTGGCATTCAGGCCAAAGAGTTCAATCAGACCAGAGAATCAGCTGTCATGTGCCTTTTACTGACGAGTGGGTTCTGTCTGGCCACTCTACCATAAAGGCCTGATTGGTGGAGTGCTGCAGAGATGGTTGTTCTTCTGGAAGGTTCTCTAATCTCCATAGAGGAACTCTGGAGCTCTGTCAGAGTGACCATCGGGTTCTTGGTCACCTCCCTGACCAAGGCTCTTCTCCCCCGATTGCTCAGTTTGGGTGACGGCCAGCTCTAGGAAGAGTCTTGGTGGTTCCAAACTTTTTCCAATGAAGAATGATGGAGGCAACTGTGTTCTTGGGGACCTTCAATGCTGCCAAAAAAATTTGGTACCCTTCCCCAGATCTGTGCCTCGACACAATCCTGTCTCTACGGACACTTCCTTTTGGCCTCATGGCTTGGTTTTTGCTCTGACATGCACTATCAACTGTGGGACCTTATATAGACAGGTGTGTGCCTTTCAAAATCATGTCCAATCAATTTAATTTACCACATGTGGACTCCTATCAAGTTGTAGAAACATCTCAAGGATGATCAATGGAAACAGGAAGCACCTGAGCTCAATTTCGAGTCTCATTTCAAAGGGTCTGAATACTTACGTAAATAAGGTATTTCTGGTTTTTATTTTTTATACATTTGCAAAAAAATCAAAAAACCTGTTTTCATTGTCATTATGGGGTACTGTGTGTAGATTGATGAAGAAAAACATGAACTTAATCAATTTTAGAATAAGGCTGTAACGTAACAAAATGTGGAAAACGTCAAGGGGTCTGAATACTTTCCGAATGCACTGTATATCGACATGATGATGGTGTAGGCCCTATTTATACAGTAACCTACTTTTAGTCATTTTTATATAGCGGAACAATCTGTATAATTCTTTAATATAATTATTTTATATCAGCCTTTACTAGCTTAAAACCCGTTGATAAAGGAGGTGATGAACATGCAGGTTCTGAGTCGACTCAGTCTAGTACCAGCGCTTTAGTTGTATCTCTCTGTCCTCTTCTGTTGAGGAGGCTTGTCCACCCGCCCGGCGGTGCGGAGCATCCAGAGACAGACCTTCTCTTTGCGCTCCAACATGGCCAGCCCTCTGGCCGTCAGTGAGAACAGCTCCAAGCCTTCCTGGTCCCTCTCTGCCAAGCTCCATCTGCGTTCCAACTCACCCTTGCACTTCTCCATGGAGTCTCACTCCTCCTCACCCACCCTGGAGAGGATAGGCGAGGCGGCTGATGACAAGGTCTCCACCTCCTGCTTCAGCGGCTCTACGAAACCAGAGGTAAAGGTCGGAGGTAAGACACCCCTGGTGGTGGTGGAGGGTAATGCAGGGGCTAAAAGGCTCCTGGAGCAGGTGCTCTCCAAGCCTGTTCCCCAGGCTGAGCTGAGGAGCTCCAGCCCGGCAGTGGGTAACAATGACGTGGCCACGATAGTGGAGCCAGGCAACCCGGGTCAAGGAGCGGTCGCTAAGGAGCCCAAACAACGAGGAGTGGGGGGAGGGGAGGGCACTGGGGCCAGGAGAAGCTCGGCCAAGACGGTTGAGTCCGAGAAGAGCCCCAAGAAGCACCCATCCACCCCCTCACCTACCCCATCCCACACCTCCTCTGCGACCCACGCATCGTCGCCTTCTCGAACCCAAGCGAAGGGCACGGCGGCCACAGCGTCCAACCCCAAAGAAAAAAGTGAGGGTGCAGTCACCAAAACCAGCAAGACCTCCTCCGCCAAAACAACCACCCACTCCAAAAAGGAGCCCTTGCAGACCCCAGAGACATTGCACCCTGAAAGCGCAAAGCAAATAAAGGGCGGCACCCCCGGGTCACAGATTTGCTCGACACACCCACCGAGGAAGACGTCGCCCAGAGGGACGGCGGAGAGGAGCTCCGCATCAGCGAGAACCAGAGCAGCCGAGAGGAGCACCAGCCGGGAGACGTCACGGAACACCTCAGTGTCAGAGAGAGGGGTGACCCACGGCGGTTCCTCCTCCACGGCCAGTGGTGTGTCCCGGGGAGGGGAGCGGGGTGTCGCTGGCCGGGGCGACAGCAGGGCGGGTCGAGGGCCGGAGAGCAGGGCTGGGGGGAGGAGCACCAGCAGTAGCTCCTCCATGACCAGCCTGCGATCGTCCAGTTTGGGCGTGGCATCGGCAGCAGCGCCCCCCAGGGGACCTCAAAGGAACAGCAAGACTGAGGAAAAGGGGGTCAACTTCTTCAAGAGTGCCCTGAGGCAGAAAGAGACACGCAGGTCCACGGACGGGGGGAAGCCCACCACCACAGCCAAAGCAGGGACAGGTGAGGCAAAAGGCAGCCTGGAGGAGGGGGCTGGGAGGGGGACTGGAGAGGGGGCTGGGGACAGAGCAGCCAAGAGGGCCCAGCAGGGGAACCCAGAGGCCCAGATGAACACGCCCGCAGCCAAAGACAAAGAATCCTCCAAGATGTCCACCCCAGCCAAGCACTCCATACTGTCCTCCGTCAAGTCCAAATCTTCCGGAGCGGAGATGGGCATAGCGGAGAAAGCCTCTGCCAATGGGAAAAAACCTCAGGAAAAGAAGTTGCTGCCATCCCGAAAGATCCCCATCAATTCGACACGATCCACCCAGAAGCCCAAGTGAAATATCCTCTGGGACCCAAAAATGTTCCCTGTAGTGCAGCTCTAAGGTGTCTCAAACATCGAACTAGATCTCCTCTTTAGGAGAGACTTTTGAAAAGCACCTCTAGCATTTCATTGGCCCCAGATGATTGCAAGCTGCCATATCTGACAGTCTGTCACTGCCCACTTTATTATATAGTTATTTACAAATGGATTGAAACAAAGCACTTTGTATGGATTGCATTGTTAATTATTTTTTTGAAAAATTATATTAATCAAATGGATTATTATATAGTGTTATATAAAGTTATGAACTGCACATGTAATGATATACCTGGTTCTGTAGCATACTTTGACGAGGTTTGTCTTGGGCAGACGTTGAAATGAACTTGTGTAGCTAGAAGCAGGTACATTTGTTAAGCAGTGTAATGATGAGAAACCCTGTGAATCACACAAAAGATCAAACATGGACTACTACTCAGTAACCTGAGCTAGTTAACGGGCAGTGTTTACATCTCTGACTTCTTTGTACTTTTCAGAACTACCGTATAGGGGTCCACTTTCAAATAGTTCAAAACATTCCACACCAGGCAGAGTATTTTAATTTATGGAACCATGAAACAAACACCATTACCTATCATAATCCCTAATTAGATACAGTTTAGCTATTTAGTTACAGTAGAGCTATCAGTGCAGGTAGATTTATAATCCCAAATTAACTGGTATTAGTTGTCTAGGACTGATCATCTCAATAGAGCAGCTCCATTTACAGATTTACATCATTAATAATTCCAGTTGAACAACTCTTGGTTGTCAGGGTACTTAAACTCCTAGTATGATAACATAATCCTGATTTAACAATAGTGATTCTGTAACATTTTGCCGGTATATATAGGATATTATGGGCTCTATTTTTTAAAACCCACCCATGGACAGTGAATCTTTCTAATACGTTTTTTAAACCAACAACAATATTTCTAAATAGGATCGGGTCAGAAGCATGATATCATAAATCGCTTCTCTTGTTCCATGGCACTGTGTGCACACGTAGGCCTAAATGTTTTTACGCATAACATTTGCACGTCTATACAAAATACTAGGCTCCTGTCAATTGTATCGTTCCCTACGCAGCAACATGCAGGTATGTGAATTGTGAATAATGAAAAGGCATGAGTGCAAAAACCTCAAATACAATTGAAGTCGGAAGTTTACATACACTTAGGTTGGAGTCATTTAAACTCGTTTTTCAACCACTCCACACATTTCTTGTTAACAAACTATAGTTTTGGCAAGTCGGTAAGGACATCTACTTTGTGCATGACACAAGTAATTTTTCCAACAATTGTTTACAGACAGATTATTTCACTTATAAATCACTATCACAATTCCAGTGGGTCAGAAGTTTACATACACTAAGTTGACTGTGCCTTTAAACAGCTTGGAAAATTCCAGAAAATGATTTCATGGATTTAGAAGCTTCTGATAGGCTAATTGACATCATTTGAGTCATTTGGAGGTGTACCTGTGGATGTATTTCAAGGCCTACCTTCAAACTCAGTGCCTCTTTGCTTGACCTCAGAAAAAAAATTGTAGACCTCCACAAGTCTGGTTCATCCTTGGGAGCAATTTCCAAACGCCTGAAGGTACCACGTTTATCTGTACAAACAATAGTACGCAAGTATAAACACCATGGGACCACGCAGCCGTCATACCGCTCAGGAAGGAGATGCGTTCTGTCTCCTAGAGATGAACGTACTTTGGTGTGAAAAGTGCAAATCAATCCCAGAACAACAGCAAAGGACCTTGTGAAGATACTGGAGGAAACAGGTACAAAAGTATCTATATCCACAGTAAAACGAGTCCTATATCGACATAACCTGAAAGGCCGCTCAGCAAGGAAGAAGCCACTGCTCCAAACCGCCATAAAAAAGCCAGACTACGGTTTGCAACTGCACATGGGGACAAAGATCGTACTTTTTGGAGAAATGTCCTCTGGTCTGATGAAACAAAAATAGAACTGTTTGGCCATAATGACCATCGTTATGTTTGGAGGAAAAAGGGGGGCTTGCAAGCCGAAGAACACCATCCCAACAGTGAAGCACGGGGTGGCAGCATCATGCTGTGGGGGTGCTTTGCTGCGGGAGGGACTGGTGCACTTCACAAAATAGATGGCATCATGAGGAAGGAAAATGATGTGGATATATTGAAGCAACATCTCAAGACATCAGTCAGGAAGTTAAAGCTTGGTCGCAAATGGGTCTTCCAAATGGACAATGACCCCAAGCATACTTCCAAAGTTGTGGCAAAATGGCTTAAGGACAACAAAGTCAAGGTATTGGAGTGGCCATCACAAAGCCCTGACCTCAATCCTATAGAAAGTTTGTGGGCAGAACTGAAAAAGCGTGTGCGAGCAAGGAGGCCTACAAACCTGACTCAGTTACACCAGCTCTGTCAGGAGGAATGGGCCAAAATTCACCCAACTTATTGTGGGAAGCTTGTGGAAGGCTACCTGAAACGTTTGACCCAAGTTAAACAATTTAAAGGCAATGCTACCAAATACCAATTGAGTGTATGTAAACTTCTGACCCCCTGGAATGTGATGAAAGAAATAAAAGCTGAAAGAAATCATTCTCTCTACTATTATTCTGACATTTCACATTCTTAATATAAAGTGGTGATCCTAACTGACCTAAGACAGGGACTTTTTACCAGGTTTAAATGTCAGGAATTGTGAAAAACAGAGATTAAATGTATTTGGCTAAGGTATATGTAAACTTCCGACTTCAACTGTATTTCAAAGCACTCTCACTAGACCATTTAAAACCCCTTTATTTATAGGCTACTTTTGACTAATGGCCAGGATAAAAATACACACCTATGCAATGCTGCTAAACCAGCCTTGATAAAGGGAGGGTAGGCTATGCTTGGTTTTTAATAAAATTAAACCTATTTGTTTTATGTTTCTAATGCGAGATTCACTGGCACAAAAGGCACATCTCTCCTTCCATGGGCACTGTGTGTCATGGCTGGATAGGCTATGCTGCCTCTCTCAAAATTCATCCCATTGTCAACTGCGTTACCGTTAAGGTCTTAAAACTTCCCATTAGCGCTGCATGAAATTGTCACTTTTGCACTTGTTTTTAAGGACACACCTCAAATATTGCCACCCCTCCCACCTCAACACAAGCGAGCTGATGTTATACAGGTAAACCTGGCGTTAGGGCTGGAAAATGCCAGCGTGCCAGTTTTTACATGACGAAATTGCAAACTAACGTGTGTTTGACACTTGCGCCTGCTTAGAGCCAGCCGAAAATAGAGCCCTATATGCATAGCATTAAAGGAACCCATTAGAAATATACAAGGAAGGAAGTGACATCGCCCAGTGATTTTGGAAGGATGGGACTGTATGGTTCTCCACTCTCCCTCTGGTTGTACTGATTTTGGAAGAGTAGTGTGACGACATAGCCCCCCAGAGTGCCCTAACAACCTCATCCCCTGGCTGGTGACCACTGTCACTGTGGGTGGTCAAGGCCTTACGGGGGACCACATTCAGACTGCCAGACATCTCTAAACATTCCTAAAGATGAACACAGGGTCGATGTAAAAAGCTATACTCAAGGCCATCAAATACATTACTAAAGACAATACATGGGGGATGTCTTTATATGAGCACCATATAAGGTGTGTTTTGATCTGCCCTATCCTCTTCTGTTTTTTTCTGTGACATCACAGCTTGTGCCTGTGCACATTTTAGCTTATGCTCTACCAAGCAGATTTCAGCGTCGAATCCACTGATGTAAATTCAGAAAATGTATCTCCATGATGAAATGTATAGCAGTAATCTTTGCATGAAATTGCTTATGCATTAACTAAATTATGCAACTCTTGCTAATGTCCACACTGAGGAAGTAATACTGCTACTTTTAGATGTGTATATATTTCTAACTGTATATTTTCCCAGCATCAGAGAGCATGTTTAGGGATCATTTAATGCTTTGTTTGCACATTTACTTAAAAAAAAAAATGAATGTTAGGTATTGCTTATTCACCTTCTTAAAGTAAATCAACTCACTTGCAAATGAATGATTTCTGTATTGTATTCATTTGTCTCATGTTTGATTCAAAACTATTTTTAAGGGACACGCTACCCCATAGACCTCTGCAGCCAAACATCTAATAGCTACATCTATGAAATCAATTGGTATTATTGTGAAATATCACTTTGTCATAGTTTGAGAGTAGGTACAGGAGTAGGTACAGATGGTTTTTGTGACCGTATCCCCAATAGTTTATATGATTAATTCATTGAAAAATACTATTTCTTATTGGTGGAAAGACAATATACAAGATTTTTTTCAGTGGAATACTTTATGAACCTGTTATCTAAATACTGGGTCTAGCTATAATCTCCCAGTTGTTTTTGTGACATGATACAGTAAAGGGTGACCTTTTTCGATCCTTACATTTCAATCAGAAGCACCTCTGCAACCACACCTCTGTTCAAAATCTCCCTTTCCAAGGAATAACCCTTAAAGTATATGATATATGTAATATGTCATAGATTATATTAAATTGAATCTCTGATGATTTCAACTATTGTAAGACCTTGCAAAAGTATTCATCCCCCTTGGCGTTTTTCCTATTTTGTTGCATTACAACCTGTAATTTAAATGGATTTTTATTTGGATTTCATGTAATGGACATACACAAAATAGTCCAAATTGGTCAAGTGAAATGAAAAAAATGAAATAAATAACGGAAAAGTGGTGCGTGCATATGTATTCACCCCCTTTGCTATGAAGCCCGTAAATAAGATCTGGTGCATACAATTACCTTCAGAAGTCACATAATTAGTTAAATAAAGTCCACCTATGTGCAATCTAAGTGTCGCAAGATCTGTCACATGATATCAGTATTTTTACACCTGTTCTGAAAGGCCCCAGAGTCTGCAACACCACTAAGCAAGGCGGTGCCCAAGCAAGCGGCACCATGAAGACCAAAGAGTTCTCCAAACAGGTCAGG